ATTATTCAAATGTTTATCATAGTTATGTTAAGGTCGTCATTTCAACTATAATTAGACACCAATGTCAGAAAAAAAATTACATTGAATATTTCAAAGAATAATGATATTAATTTGGTAGTGCCATAGTAGTAGTAGTAGTAGTATAGTAAGTGTTTAGGCCAAATAATTAACATTGTAAAAATTTGCATTCACGACGCGCGTTCGACTCGTGCATCCGATGTTACCAAGGTCACCGTCATCCCCCCCCCGCTCCCGTTCGCATTCCAATTCGAGGACGCGGCTGCGAGTTAGTATGAAAAAGCGTCGTGGCGCGACGGTCGGTCGCGCGCCTCCTACGGCGTTATCTTGGTTTTGTTTCTCGTGATAACGAGGCTGAGCTCATATAATTATTGTTACAATGTATGTAAACAATACTCAAAACGGTTACCGTTTTGAGTATTGTTTGTGACCATTAGTTGGTCAGGTGCGGTCCGTGGGTGTCAAGAATTGTGCGCGTCGTTTTGGAATTTACTATCGAATATTTGGATTGACATTACTTACTGTCGTTTTGCTCCTTTGAACTGCGAGGTCGCGTGCAAAAGGAAGCCTCTAATTCGTGTCGTTTTTTGTTATTACGTTTACGTAGCAACGAGGCGTTTGTTCTTGAATTTGAGTGATTAAAGTAACTTCGTTTGCAAGTAATTTACGTCAATTTGTATAGTGATTGCATGTTGAAGTGCATTTTGCAATATTTAATTTGCATGTGTGACGTGGAACCGTGCGCGCACGCCGAGTAGACAAACGGCCTGGAATTTGATGCTCGCATTCCATTTCGAGGGCGTGGCCCGGTTAATTGTTTTTGGAAGTTAATGTTGAATTGTAACGTCGCGTTAAGTGCCTTTTTTAGGTGTTGACTATTTTCGATCATTTTACGTGTCAACGAGGCTGAATTTGAGTTCCGATTGCGGGCATGGTATTTTAATATCGTACGAAACAATTTTAGCTTGTCGTATGGAACGCTGAACTTTGAGACTCGAGAAGAGGAGAAATTATCAAACAAATCTTTTTGCACGCCCCGTACCAACGGAATATCCCACTGTTTTTGTTGGTTAACTTCCAGTGCAACATTTTCACCGGGACAGAGCGTTTGCCATGTCTGCCCTGCCTCCGTAGCAAAGCATAGGTCTACTTTATTATTTAATATTATGTTACATAAGTCACTGACACTATGCACGGAAGCAAGGAAAGCAGGCAATGCAACGCTAGAAAGATTTCTCACACCAATGCCACCAAAATTTATTGGTAAAGTAGCTTGAGTGCAGGCTGTTGTATACTGAAAGTTAAATTTAGATTTTTTTCTATTTTAAAATTATATCTTTTAAAATATTCGAACATTTCCAGACTGGACTCGAGCGAAGTAAGTCTGCTAATCTAGGTACAAGGAGATAATATTTTAAAATAGTAAGAGCTATGTGGTGGTTTAATTTATACAATTTATCAACGTGGTTTAAAAACTAATCAAATTTTGTTTTTAAAACAGGTTTGATACTATCGAAAAACAACGGGGCACCTAGCAGGTATAATGATTCCGTACTGATAGTTTTTATTCTTGGAGAAACATGATTGAAATTTTGAATTAAAGTGTCTCTATGAGAAGTAGATAAATTATTGGAAAAAAATATTTCACGTTTATTGCTATTTGGTTCAAGACCAATATTCTTAAAATTTCGAAAAATATGAGTAAGATCACTGAGGACGTCATCTGCCAGTGAACCGGCGTCCAGGTACCAGACATTCAGCTTGGATTTCAAATTTGAAATAATGGGTTGAATTCCCAAATTGAAAAGTGCTGGACCTAGTGGGTCACCCTGCTGAACACCGACAGCAGAATTGATAACATGGTTTTCGTAAAACAAGTTAGTATTTTGACTATAATATTGCCAAACGTAAATTTCGGGGGTATTATTAGCCACTTCTTTCAGCGAGGTTACCCTGCCGATAGAGTTAAAAGCATTCCTTAGGTCAACCTTCACCCTTCACACCCCCCTGAACGGGTTCCCGACTTTTCATGGGAACAAAGAGGAACCCCTTGGCTGGCCCGTGGTGTAGGGTCGGCCCGAGGTGGCCATTCCGAGTGGACTTGGCGAGCCCAATTCGGATCTGTGTCGGTGGGCTACGGTGGGAGGGGTGTCCTCTCCCCCTGCTGCTGCAGTCGAGGTGGAGTCGCGGAGGAAGAGGAGTGATGGTATGGCGATGCGCCACTCGCCTTATCCTCCGCGACTCAGACGGGGCCGCACCGTTGATGCGGTGGTGGTGGGGCCGCGAGGGGAGAGGAGTGTCGGTATTGCGAGGCACCGCTCTCCCTCCTCTCCGCGGCCGAATCTTGGTTGGCGGCGGAGCCGTAGACCAGATCCGCCGCTAGAGTCAGGAAGGCTGCTGCTTCTGAGTGCTACCTTTTCCTGGCCCCATGGCCTTTGCGCATCAGACACGGGGGCATCCGTTGCGCATGTTAAGTTGAAGGCCGAGGAGGAGGGCGCACCATGTGTTCCTGGTGCGCCTTATCTGTGAAGGAGATGGGGGAGGAGTAGTCCTCCCCTGAGGAGAGGCTGCCATGGGGCGGCCAGCGCAGGTGGGGCCGCGGATGTGTCCGAAAGCGTTTCCGTGGCCCTGCCAATATGCGACGAGGGTGGAATACCATGGGGTTTTAGTCAGTGCGAGTCCGACATAACCCGTCCTTGCCCCCGCGAGGCGGGTATGCGTAGGCATTTCCCCATGTAAAAAAAAGTCAACCTTCACAAGAACATCTGCATCAGAGTTTGTTAAAAATGTACGCACTGAATGTACCGCCGCCTCACAGCCACCTCTAGTGCCAAAGCCTAGTTGAGTTGGCTGAAATTTGGTCCTAAGATTAGAGATTATGTGCCTGCAAGCTAATTTTAAAGTTAAGCATCGAAATGTGGAACCAACGGCATTAGGACGGATACCGTTATCCTTTTTTTTTTGAAGGTATGTGCCTTCAAAAAAAAAAGGATAACGGTATCCGTATCTTGCCCCATACAAGAATGGAATGAAATTTGGATTACCATTACCGGAAAGCATAAAGTTACAAAATTTTGTAATGTCTTTAAGAAGTTTGCGTAACTATGAGAAATCATTCTTCTTTTTCTATCTTCAGAGTGGTTAATTGACAGGATCTGCTTTCTTTGTCTATTTCTTTTTGGTAATTTTGAAAGGTTAGCTTAGTTAGGAGGTTACTTGTGAAGGTCCGATATCATAATGATGATGATAATGATTTTGTTGAGCATAGCTTCCTTTGAACTTTGATAGTGATCATATCTTCATGGCATTTTAACAATGGCGCGATAACTTTTGGTTAAAGAAGATACTTAAATGCAACAATAGTATGCGCTTATTAAGAAGCGCTCACTTGCCTTAACTTTATGATCGAAAGTAAGTGAGTATAAATTATTAGAGTTCCGAGTACAGTCATAACATATCCCAAAGTCTATATTCAAACAATTTATGTTTCCGCTTAATTTTTAGCTCCGAATGCGATTCGATACCGGGCACAGAACCCCTTACCCACCCACTGTAAAGCAAAATCCGTTTTCTTTCATATATATATATGAAAGAAAACGGATTTTCATAAAGTTTTTAATAAAGTTTTAGAATTATTTTACAAAATATATCTTAAAATAACAACTGCAGAAATTAATATTTTAATAATAATTTTTGTAGTTATTATACGCTTTAAGTTTTATGTACTTTATATTTGTATTATAAAATTATTATACTGTTACGAGCTTGAGGTTCGAGATAATTAAAAACTGCCGATTGAATTACCAAAATTGACACTTTAATTACGGATACTAATTAAACCTTAAAACACACTAATAATAAAATACAATAATTCTACTGATCACTTAAGTTCGCAGTTGTTTCGCTTCAAAGTATTCTCTTGTATCGCCAATTCAATACTGCCTCCGTCGTGGTCTATACCGGCGTTATATAGGGCCTCAGATAGTTTCCAGTACCTTCTACTATAGCGACATCTAGAATGTTCGAGTACTATCGGTCACGAAATTTCTGGAAGGATCTTGACTTTCCTAGTTCTGCTACTCGACACTAGAGGGCGCTAGTGTAGCTAGTGTTGCAATGTACAAGACATTAATAGTGGCGCGCAACAATACTGTCATCTTTAATCTTTATCTTGTGGTGGCCACGTAAGAAAATACATCACCCTCTTCCATCCCGTGGGTATCGTAAGATATAACAATAGGAAATGCTGGAAAAATCTAATCTTTTCATCAACATGTATACACGTAAATCTACTGCTGGGCCTCTCCCATTGTAGGGAAAACCTGCTTTAGTTGTTACAATTTGAAGGTGGATTGATGTTCGAAATGTCTCGCTTCATTATTTTTATTACTGCGATGGTTAGTCCAGCTGTCAAGCATAACTATGGAGAACTCACAGCATACTAAAAGCGCGCAAAAGTGCTCTGCTAGATATGAGATTCTCCTGTAGCAGGTTGCCTTTGTGATCCAACTTATACTTTGTATTTAAATTTGTATTAAATAAAAAATACTTAAATACAGTATTAACATTGTTTATTAACATTGAAATGTCGCTTAATCGTTCTTTTATTTTGTTTGTTTATTTATATAGGTTAATTACACTTTTGTTTATATAAACTTGTGTTAATATAAATAATCAAACAATAAAATAAATAAAAATTGTCCTTAGAGTGCAGGGATAGGAGATAAAAGGTCTATACCCTACTATCTGGAAATTATTATAAATATATTAAACACTTGATCGAATTTTATTTATTAGTTTTACTGCAACCGGCGAGGTATTCAGTTGATAATGTGAGTATGCAGTGTTGAGTATTGGATAAAAAAATATTTTTCCATCTATCAATAATTTTAAGATGTTCATTTCCATAATAACGAGGGCGCTACAGATTTGTTTATTACTTTAACGTAACATCAAAATTAAAACATAATTTTAATTTTCAGATGGCAAGAATCATCTATTTTGCGGCCGTTGCTCTAGCATCAGTACAAGCTTCTGAACAAAAATGTGAAGGTGTTACTATTAAGGGAGTTATATATGAAAAAGAAACGCTAAAAACTGATTTAGATAGCCCTTATCAATTTAGCATTGATTACAATACCGACACTATATTTTTTAGTTATTCAACACATACCAAAGATCAGAGATTTCAGTTAGCCTACCTAAATCTTAAAACGAAAGAATTTAATACAATAACAACTATAACAGATGGATTTGCATCGGCGGTTGACTTGGAAAATAACAAACTTTTCTTGGGCGGCAAAGGTGGAATTTATGATTTCAATTTGAAGTCAAAACAAACAAGCCATCTTGGTGCATCAAGTCATAATATTTGGCAAATGTTTTATAAAGATGGTTTGTATTATACTGTATACCCACACGAAGAAGCTTATACTTTTAACGACGGAATTTCTAAGAAAGTGACTGAATTGAGTGGAACAAAGGTTATGCTTATTGCAATGGACAGAAATAACAATATTTACTTTACAAATTCGTCTGGTTTGTTTAACTATAATAAATCAAATAAAAAAATTATTAATTTAGGTGAACACGTTATAAACGGACTAAATACTGACATTAATGGTAAACTGTTCTTTTCCTCCCCAAATGGTATATATTCGATAAATGAAAATCTAAATATTGTGGAACATATTGTTACCCTTGAAAGTGTGTTTTCGGTTGCTATAGCCAAAGATGGTAGTATAATATACGGAACAGACGATAGCATAATGCGTCTTAAAAAAAGTGACAAATGCCAATTATGATCATTATATTTTTAAATATTAAAATTTTACACGTTAAACCCGTTAATATTATACTTTTGATTAAGAGTAAAGAAAATATAACATAATTTTTGTCAATAAGTTGGCTTAAGATATTAGACCTTTAAAGTATTTTTGGGTTATTTACAATTAAAATGAATAAACAATATATAATATAACAAAAATAAATTATAAATAACGATGTTATTCTACTAAATTGGTTTTATTTATCATCCTCTTTTACTACCAATAACTTTTTGAAATGATAAATTCTGTAACGGCGGCTCTTCTCAATGGAGACATTGCACCTGTGCTGCACAATATTACAGTGCACCTATGTATTCGGAAACACAGGTGCACTCTCTATTCCCACACTCTCATAGTTCGACGGAAAGGTAATCCGACACGATTGGAGAGAGATCAGGATCAGAATCTTCCAACTTAATCATAGTTATAATAACTAATTGGCTTTGTCCCCTATTGGTTTTTTCTTAAATTTTACATGGGGCCATCTCTGAAGTAAAGCTTATTTAGAATAGAATAGAATAGAATAGAATGACTTTTATTCAACATGAATCATTACATAATACTTATTGAAAGCTATTATTTTATTTACCACTGGTTCGGAAAATACCTCTGTCCTGGGAAGAACCAGCAAGAAACCCAGCGGGACTTTTTTTTAAACATAATTTCACTTAACAATAATTTTGTTTATACAATTTTAAATGAATTTTCATAGAACCAGCATGGTGGCGATCACCTTATTCCCAGGGGTTATTTTCATTCATGTATTCCTTGATATTATAATAACCCTTTTTGTACAGTTTTTCTTTAATAAAACTTTTAAACTTGTATGTCATCCATATCTATAATAATCTATACATTTATATGTATACATATAAATAAAATTGAAGTGTCTGTTTGTAATATCAAAATTGCTGCCTCCTTTTAAGCTCAAGGGTTATTTGCACTCTGTTAAGAAATAAATAAACATTAAAAACATTTTTGTCAGTCTGTTAATCTGTCTTAATCTGTTGGCGACGGACTTATCTTCAGAATGGCTGAACCGATTGTGATAAAACTACGAGTGATAGTTAGTTTATACGTGGTAGAGCCATGCTGCAGCTATATTAGTAGTATAGTTGTAGCACGTATGGGTCGGCTCGACCGGGGAACGACCACGCTCTCACAGAATACCAGCGTAAAATAGCAGCTTAACACTGCTGTGTTTTGTATGGTGAGTGTAGAGAACCGGAGACCCTTTTTACTGTAAATGAGGCATTCTGTCTTAGTCCTCACGGGTGACAACGCATCTGCATTTTGATTCGCAAACGAGGATAGATGTAGATGTCTATGGGCCACAGCAAACACTTACCATCAGGTGGACTCTGTGCTCGTTTGTCACCCTATCCTATAAAATTTTACATGGGGCCATCTCTGAAGTAAAGCTTATTTAGAATAGAATAGAATAGAATAGAATGACTTTTATTCAACATGAATCATTACATAATACTTATTGAAAGCTATTATTTTATTTACCACTGGTTCGGAAAATACCTCTGTCCTGGGAAGAACCAGCAAGAAACCCAGCGGGACTTTTTTTTAAACATAATTTCACTTAACAATAATTTTGTTTATACAATTTTAAATGAATTTTCATAGAACCAGCATGGTGGCGATCACCTTATTCCCAGGGGTTATTTTCATTCATGTATTCCTTGATATTATAATAACCCTTTTTGTACAGTTTTTCTTTAATAAAACTTTTAAACTTGTTTATTGACAAACTTTGAACATGTTCTGGGATTTTGTTGTAAAAGCGTATACATTGCCCCATAAATGAATTACTAATTCTGTGGAGTCTAGTAAGTGGCATTACAAGCTTATGTTTGTTCCTAGTGTTTAAGGTATGAACATCCTTATTCTTATTAAAGCTATTTATGTTTTTATGTACATACATTACATTTTCATAAATATATTGCGATGCCAAAGTTAATATGTTTATTTCTTTAAATTTTTCTCTGAGGGACTCTTTACAATTTAGATTATAAATAAACATATTAACTTTAATTAAATCAATACAATCACCACAATCATTCCAACCATTTTCAAGATACCGGTGAACATACGCGTCTAATACAGAAACTGGTTTCTGAAATTTGGTTAAAAATGGACGGAAGCTCATTTTATTAGTCAATAATAGATCACAGCATTTGGATTATTTCTTTATTGTAATATGTGCATGTTAGTTTTATAATATATGTATGTATAAAATACTGTTTATAAATGTAAATATTATAAATGTTAGAAACCATTAAGTGAGATAAGATTAATAATTTTATTTGTTGCAATGAGAAAATAGATAACCTCTTAGAATGTTAACTACGACATATTCATAATTATCTACTTAAAATAATATGGCAGTATGTGGTACATAATTTTGTGAAAGATAAATATAAAAAAAAAATATTACTCTGAAATACGAGGTTGGTAGTGCTGAAAATAGAAATTGTGTTTTATAATTTTTTTAAGCTAATGATTTTCTTAGGAATACCATTACCTCTATAACTAGTATTTTTTTGTTTTTTAATTGTGCATTATTTTCAATCATTCATTGATTTCGGCTTAAAAAATCCACCGCCGACCATATATTATATATACCATTACCTTAAAAATACCTTAAAAATTGTCTTGAAGCATAGAATACAATTACTTTCAACAAAGTACTGTCAATGAAAGCGAACTTGAACTAGATGAAGTTTAAATCGAATTCCGTTTAAAATGTCCATGTTGTCCCAGGTTTATTACTCGCAGACGTTTGAAAATCATCATGATACGAATAGCAACGATAAATATTGCATGATGTATCTATGTTGTCATCATAAATTTTCTCTTATTATTTTTTATTTGACGCATAAAATGATTTCCTTAATTCAGCGTTGCTTGTGATAGCCAACTCAAAATTTGACTAATCAGAATTGATAACAATTTTTTCCAAAATTTTAAAATTTTCGACCGCTTTACTATAAACTTCTAACAATGTCTCTTAAATTGTTTTGTTTTTCATTCGTAAACATGAATACTGCAGAGATTTATTTATTTTATACTGGATATATAGGCAAACTTTTAATGCCACATTACATTTCATTCAGTCTACAACTGAACATGATTCCATAGATTGTTTTACAGTTTGCTTTAGTTTGTCATCGCAGATTTTTATTGTGATTGTGTTATGGTCAAGAAGATGCTGCTGCTAGTTTCTCTTTTAGTTTCGCCCTGTCTCCTTTTACACACCCTCGGGATAGTTGAGGTTAGTCGATTGTGTTATTCCGCAATCCTAACTCGACTAATTTATGCAACTTTTAATGCCTAAAATTTAAGCATTATATAATCCACATTTAATAAATACTTAACACATAAAAGTATATTAATGGTATAAATTTAACCCTGTATATTATCGATACTGCATGGTACCTCCTCTTCGTGTTTATAGATTCGTCCCCCACTCGATGGACTGCCAACTTGAACAGACTTGTAGGAAGTTTTTTTTTAATATTCAAAACTATTATTTAAATATTAGCCTTTTCCTTCGTCCTACTCTTAGACTCTTGTCTTGAAGACAACGACATTGTAAACCGATGAAAAACAGATTCTGGCAACTTTGCTGGCACCCACGACGAACGAAGCAAGCCGTTTGGCTCGAATGCAATGTAAGTGTACAACAAAAGGATGGAGACTGACTGACCTCTGACTCTGATGGTGGAAATAAGAGGGAGGAAATAAATTGCAACTTCTGCGCACACTTGCAAAATTGCATCTTGTAAATAGCCGAAAGGCTGCTACGTTGCGCCGGTTTGTGGCTGGTGGGATTGGTTTCAACCAGTTACCAAACAGCCTTTTGGCCCGCCTTTCCATTGATTCCAAAGCTGCTAGGTGGTATTTTGCAGCACCAGATCATATATGGCAGCAAGTACTCCATTAACGATGTACTAAATCAAGGGCTGTATGTATGAGGCGTTACACGAGTGGACCTGTAGTTAAGTAAACATTGTAAAAAAATTAAGTGCGTATAACCTTTACGCGCGGATGGAGTAAAAGGTATATTAGTATTAATAAATAATTATATTTACGTTACGTATTTATTTTATTGTTAAATATTTATTTATTATTTTAATGGTTTGTATCTATTAAAAATATTCTTTCACATTTTATATATTTTATAAAAATAATTATTATTGAACTAAATATATATCATAAAATAAATATTTGTTTAATAAAGTTTTAAACTCGGTGAAAGTCAGATTTTGTATAATATTTTCTGGGATTTTGTTGTAAAAGTGTATACATCGCCCCAAGAATGAATGACTGATTCTATGGAGTCGAGTAACTAGTACTACTAGCTTGTGTCTAATCGTAGTATTAAATAAATTTATAAACATTTTTACTTGTGACAACACCCATATTAAGTTGGCAGTTACGAAATCTACGTACTAGTGTTAGTTATAATATGATATTATGAATAATTTTTTCAAATTTGTATGGGTTCCCACCCATTTGCACAAGAAACGAGTTTCTATAGAGAGTTTTATAGATCAGAAAACACACTGAGGATACTGTAAAGTTACGGATACTGTGTGCACCACATCGGTGATCCCCGCGTCGGTAGTACTAAATATCGCGGGTACCAGTAGTTACTCTGTGTGTGTTGGTGAACCCCTCGCTTGCGTGAGTGCATACGAAATGCTGATGTGATGCTTCTGTACTGTCATTGTTAATGTGAAAACTGAATAAATAGACCACAAATCTATGGTACTGAATATTACTCCCGTCCGAAAAAGATCTAAGTTATTCTTAAATCGTGTCTAAAGCAGTTATGCTTCAAAAATCAAAATTACGTATAATAACAGTTATTTAAGACATCATTAAGTTTTTGTGCACTTAATTCTTTTATTTTTAATAAATAAATATGTATATATTAAAAAATAAACGAAAATTTTATTCAT